ACCATTTTTTCATTTAAGCTTCAATTTAAGCCTTAATTTCATTTGACCCTTGTATTAATTTCTTTTTAAGCACACTGAGAATGAAGGAGGTATGCTTTTCAGGAGGAGGAGGGTGAAACAAGTGCTCATTTCTGACCATCCCTTGCTTAGTTTTAAAATTTTCCACCACTGGATAAATGAAACCACTAAACTAAAGCAGTTGGATATAATGATGACATCCCAATCAAGGTTCCATATCAACTAGTCCAAACTATGGCTGATGCTACAACTACCCTTTGCTTTTTTTAAAAAAAGTCTATTTTTTTAAAAAAAATAGACATTTCCAAGTCAGCCTGCTTCAGAGTGAAACATTGGAATTAGTGCCAACTCAAATACCAAACTCCAAAGTATTCCCAGTTGAGATTTAATTTGGATTATTTCCTTTGCACATCGTATCAAAACCAGCCCTTGATTTTATGTAAACATTTTGCAACAACTCCTTATTTGCTGTCTTTATGAAGAAACATCAAAAGAGCTTCCACTGATTTAATTCTTGCTGAAGTATACGGCACACAAACAAAATTGTTTTTGATGTTGCCCTGAATGTATTTATTCATAATTTTAATTTAAGATCATTAGAACTAGCAATAGTCTAATTGCACGCCTGTAATTTACTTGTAACTATCATTATAAGGTTTTCTCTCTGATCAAGGAGGGTGGAGCTTATTTACAGGAAACTCTACAGGCAGAATATTATACATACCATTACCGTGAGCGTTTAGTCTGCAATGTTTAGGAATAACGTGCATTTTGAGAAATTGCACCAAAGGTAACATTAAAAAGTGGAGTGGCTCATTAATTCAAATGTAGAACGAGGATGGAGATTTTCTAGGTGCTAAATGTACTTGAATTTTTAATGTTCCAAAAAATTAGGGGTGAACCAGCACGTCAAATAGCTACTCCCCAACTTAAATGCATTTCATCCACCATCTGAATCGCTTGGCTAATGTGTTTAAAAATGTCTGCATGAAAACTGAGAACCGTTTTTAAAATATGGACAGTCCATTCTCATTATTCACAGTAGTTAATGTTCTGTAAAGTTGCTGAAAACACTGAATTAGAGAACAGTGAAACTTCAACATACATGTTGAGTGAACTCACAGTTTCCACCGCTTTGCTTGTCCATGAACCACTGCAAGTATTGACTTTGGGGGTATAAATAAATTTTACAGTGTAAGCAAATTCATAAATAAGGAATTGGCGAATAACGGGAACCAGCTGTATATTTTAGCAGAGAATGAATTCTGAACCACTAGAAATATATATATTTAAAGGATTGTGACTCTCTTTTGAGGATTGTTAAACTGATACTGCATTTTTGTTTTGTTTTTGGGGAATAAAAATGGCAAGGCACATACGACTAAGAACAGGTGTTTTGGGGCTGGGGGAAGTTTTTAAATTCAGGGGGCTTAAAAATCAAAATTCCATCCCTTTCTCTATTGTTTCATGGGGCAGGATTATAGAAACATGACAAATTACAAAATAATACCTGCAGGCGTTTTTGATAGAGGGGCCATCTAGGTTGAAGAAGAAGGAAATTTTATGAGATCTATTTCTTCAACCTTCCCTGCGTGATTGAGCTGCTCAAGGTGGAATAAAACCATTGCATTGAAAGGAGCCGGGTGGGAAAAACCAAAACTGTAACTGTTTTCTGTCTGTGCCAGCCCAAAACTGGTTTACACGTAGTCTGTCAGGATTCCAGCAGTCGCCCTAATTAAATCATGATTCTCGAGCCAAACTTCAAAAAACTTTAAAGGGTTCATTAAAGGTGACATTACTGGCACTGCCCTGTATGAAGCCAACTCTGGCCTATGTCATTTTCAGTCCCCTGTGACCCTGTTTCCCCCCAGGTATGTCATAAATCAGATTCTCCAATTGAGCACCTTCACAGGCTGCGTGTCATCATTCACGTTCTCCAATTAAATATATTCACGGGCAAAAGCTCTGGTATTTTAGTTACAATCTTTTAAAGACAAAGAATTGGAATGTACTTTTGCTTTCAACTGCTTTTCCAGATTTCCTTCCTCCCCCCCACCTTTTTTTTTTTAATGGCAACTATTAAAACAGGCACAGGAAAGTTTTATAAGTTGACATAGTCCTTGACTTACAACCGTGATCATTCAAAGTTACGTGCACTGAAAAACAGCACTGGAAAACATTGATTTATGACCATTTTTCATGCTTACGACTACTGCAATAGCCCCACGATCATGTGAGCAAAAGTCAGATGCTTGGCCACTGGTTCATACTTATGACTGTGTCCCAAGGTCACGTGATCCCCTTTTGCGACCTCCCGACCATCCATGTCAACAAGGAAAGCCAGATTCACGGAACGACCGTATTGCTAACTTTAACAGTTGCAGTGATTCACTTAACAACTGTGGCAAGAAAGGTCACAGAACAGGGCAAAACTCACTTCACAAATGTCTCACTTAGCCAGAGAAATTTTGGGCTACCTTGCGGTCGTAAGTGGAGAATTACCTGTATTAGATTCAACCAAGAGGAATCTACCTGCCCAACCCTAGGAAATCTTTAATCCATTATTGATTTGAGATCCTTTGACCAGAGGTGGTATTCAGCAGGTTCTGACAGGTTCTGGAGAACCAGTAGCAGAAATGTTGAGTCGTTTGGAAAACTGGCAAATCCCACCTCTGACTGGCCCCACCCTCATCTATCCTCTTCCTCCCATTGAATCCCAGCTGATTGGCTGGGTCTTCTTTGGTTGCCCTGCACAGGAGAATGGAGCTGGAAAGCAGGCTAGTGGGGTGGGGACAGAATGGGGATTTTACAGTAATGTTCCCCTGCCATGCCCATCAAGCCACGTCCACCAACCCACGCCACGTCCACCAAGCCACGCCCACAGAACTGGTAGTAAAAAAAAAATGAATCCCACCACTGCCTTTGACCCCATGTACTATGTAGATACCCTGCTGAAAGATTAGGAAGGGATCGATGTTTGCTGTGTTGGAGAAATAATAGATATGCATTCAAGGAGATATTTATGTATGTACTTAGCACAAAGACACAAAACGAGCTGCTGGTGTGTTGGGTTGCTGCAGGAACACCGCATGGGGACAGGGAGGGGGAAGGAAAAAAAAAAAACCCTGTCTATTTTATCTGCCAGCTACAGAAAGCTCTTAAGAAAAACTCCCGTGGTTTCCTGCAGGTTGTTCGAATCACAGGTCATAGACAAGAAGGGATCCTGCCGGGCTCAGCAAATTGAATGCAATTTTAGTCATTTGAAAGCTTAAGTGGCCCTATACACCATTGGCGATCACGAGGAAGATGGAATGGGACATGCAGAAGAGAGAGAGAGAGAGAAAGCCTTCAAACAGGGAGAGAATTGAGGGGGGACCCCAAATCCACCTTAAATAGGCATGCATATATATGTACACCCCAAACTGTAAAAAAAAACAAAGAGTATAAATCGGCTGATATACATCCATTGAATGCAGGAACAGGAGAGGAAGAAGTCCGTTTCAGTGGTCCTTCTATTTCACCCTTCCCTTCCCTGCCCTCCTCCCTCCCTCCATCCCTTCTTTCTCCTTCTGCCCCTCCTCCCTCCCTCCCTCCATCCCTTCCTTCCTTCCTTCCTCTCTGATTTTGGGCCAGAGAGAGACTGTGGTCCAAAGTCACTCAGCCGACTTTCAT